GTTGAGAAAAAAGAAGTCTACAAACACAGGGTTGATAAGCTGAAGACAAAAGTACATAACATGACCACCGGACTTATTACTGAGTTCTTCACACCAGGAAGGCTGGACTGTCTCAAAGGTCAGAAACAGTTCATAACATCAGCAAAAGTCTGTTCCTTGCGCGTTTTCTCCAGCCCTATTGTCCGTACGGGCGAGAGAATCATTCAGAATGCGTTCTCGTCTTAAAAGTATGCCCATCTTCGCAAGTCAAAAGTGTGTGGTTTTCATTATCAATCGAATTTCCGAACGTTCCGTCGACTTCTGAACATTGCTGTTGGACCTAGAGACTTTTCGACCACTTTCGATGCTGCCGCAGATTCCTGAGAAAATGTTGGAATCTATTGTTTCAGTTTTGTCATCTGATTGGTTTTCATTGCCTCGGTAGTCTCGGTTCAGATACATGTTCTTAATTCCGTTTATTGAGATTAGGTGAATCGTTCTGACCGATAGACTTGTTTTGCTTTTAATAGTCATTGAACCACTTGACTGACCGAGTTTAACCCGGATGGAGAACTCTGAAGCTTTAAAGTGACCTTTTGTTTCTTATTCAGTTACATTTTTTAATTATAGAACATACCTACAAGGCGAGCTCACCCGGACCAGAATCCGACAGAACGATGCTCTTTTACTGCAGGTACTGTAAAATAACAGGTTAATCTTGTTTTCATTTCGTGACTTCTCCTTTAAAGTGGATGTTTGTGAAAAGTTTGACGCTGTATGAACGCATTAATCAAAAAAACTTCAATTACATTCATTTGGCAAAAAGAACTTTCAATCAGCCTTACCGAGCGACTAATGTTTCTAGGGTTACTTACACAAAACTGACCAACCCGATCACAGGAAAGAACCATTGATTGGCTCAACCAAAACTGATTAGGAGTCAGTCTTCGTTTCCCATAGTGTGGTCCTTAACAATTTAGATAGTTTGATATGCATAATTTTTAAGAGAAGTCCAGTTTTGTGCTAAAAATTTAAAAATTTCATTTCGATTTTTTTAAGTAACCTTACTGATATGGAATATTTTTTCAGTGCGCGAATTGACGGCCTTGTAAAGCGTGAGGAATCGCCTGAGGAAATGACAGAGAGTTATGTTGATAGAGACGACTTCATGTACTATCGACAGGTTACTTTTGGTAAACGGGTGAAAAAGTTTGGTCCACAGGAGGCAAACTCAAGACCAATTGTGGTAGGATAAAACCGGTTCCAACTGACATTCTAAATTGTAAAAACTAATTACTGTTTGAGTGGGAAACGTGGAGCAAGCATGCGAGAACGAGCGCGGAGCGTGGACCCCGCGAAAGGTGGCTGCAGATTTTGATGCGAGAGGCAAGCTTTCCTGCGGTTACAAGTCTACTATCACAATAGCAATTACCATTTCTGGAGAAAGGAGGAATGCAGTTGCTTTAAAAAAAACCCAAAGAATGTGTATTTTCTTTTTCCTCAGCCCACCCCCTCGCGTTTGCTTTTGTTCGTTGCTCGGATGATCATAGATTTTAAGGAAAATTTTCCCTCCTTCAGGAATTCCCCTTGGAATGTCTCCTCTAAAGCCTCTTTATTGGGAATTTCTTTGGTATTTGATGATAAATCACTCGCATGCTTTAAAACTCCGGTAAGCTTCACAATGTTTTGCTCCCCCCGAACTTGTTTTTGCTACACAGTACCTATTATACAGATCGAGGACGGTTGCAGGCATTAGAACCAAAAATTCTGAGATGGAGCTCATATAATTATATGGTTAATCTGTAACGGAAATGGTATCTCTTCTTTCTTTACAGAAAATAGTTGAGAGATTTCACCGCAACAAAGCTAAAGAAGCAAACGAAGATGTTGCCGAAAGAGTTTTCCTCGTCTCTGATGAGCGAATTAACTTGACATTTCACTTGGAGGACAACAGAGTAACAGCCTCCACAAGGGAATTCATCCGCCCTCCACACACCACAGAAAAAGGAGGAACACTGACCATGACACCCGATATGACAACCACTTTTCAGGTGAGTTTTAAAGTTATTATCAATCTAATGTCAAAACTGATTCCAGATTGAATGGTTTTCCTTAACACGCTCTGTGATTGGTCCTGAAAATACGCGCCATCCTGTTAACCAATCAGAATCCCAGCTTAAACCTATCGGAGATTGGTCCCACGCGTTTTCCCGCGCTTTCAGCAGCTTGCTTGGTTTTCTTTGAGTTATTATAAGCTCCTCTCAGTCTTGGTAATTACTTTGTTTTTGAATTTACGATACTCAATCGAAAAGCCCGCTATCACGTCTGCTTTCAAGAAAAATGGTAGGTCGCAGAGCGCAATTTCTACTTAGTATTTTCAAATGGAGATCACAGTAATCTCATAAACGCAATCTCGTGCCCTTTACTTTAATTTTATGCAAGAGAGGATAACTTTTTTTATGTCATTAGGTGGATCCGCTGATCAAACCTCATAAAAACCTCCATGTTTACGAAATGTTGGTGGAACTCGTGGATGCTGAAGAACGGAGCACGAACCAGATAAGGGCGTCAGAAGAAGAGGTATCATAATTCGTTTTGTTTTAATATTCCACTATCTAGATTTTTACTTTCTTTATACACTCGGTTTAGAAAGTTTTTGTGCTAAAAATCATATAATTTTGAAGGTGAAAGAAATTCTCCAGCTCCGAATCAAAGAAGAAGCTGCATCCCAATTGATTGTTTCAGTGTATGATACAGAGAGAAACGAAAAAGCCAAGCTGCATCGCCAAGAACTGGTAAGGTGATTCACTCTAAATACAACTCTTTTGAGCCAGATCAACCAATCAGATGTAAGCTAAAACCAACTGCGATTTTTCACCTGCGTTTTCCCGCGTTTCAGACAGGTGGCTTGTTTTACTTTGGGCTCAACCAATCAGATGCAAAACTAAGACCAAACAACCATTGGAGTCTTTACAAAGTATCATTACTATTCGATCGATTAATCGATTCATTTTTCTGGCACCAGGAACGTAAAGCAGCAGAGGAAGCAATGAAGAAACATGAACTTGAGTTAGATTACCTAGCGCCATTCCTGGCACAGATTGGTGATCCACCGCACATCAGCCGACAGGAGGCTTATAAACTCAAAGAGGAATGCCTACAGGATCTAAAACACCGTCTTATTGACAAAGCAAACCTCATTCAGGCTAGATTCGAGAAGGTTAGTACGGTCAAAGTCAAATTGTGAGTCAGTTTCCAGATTTGAAAAGTTTTGAAATTTCGGTTAAAGATCAAAGCCTAATTATTTGCAAGGTTGGCTTTCATTTTTTTTTTTTGCCACATTGACTGGAGTCACCCTTTGAGAAATCTTAATCTGAGTTTTTGTGCAAGCTATACTTGTGTACCTTCTAAAAAAGAAATTAGAAGATAACTTAAAATATTGCAGATTTGGCGCATCATGAACTGAACACTCTATCTCGAAAGTTATCCTGAAGATTTACCTTACATGTTTGTGTTATTATTTGTCATCACGGATAATTATGTTGTGGTGCAAATTTTTACGTCGTTTTATATATTGTAAACCAGTTCGATTTTCATTTTTCTTAGTTTTTTACTCGTTATCACGAACTAACACAGTACAAAATAAAACTAACATCTATTCTAAATTTCAAATCAATGAAAGATTGTAGAGCGTCATATTCGTGGGTTTGAAAAATTTCTCTGCCTGACTCTCGTTACCTCACTACAGGAAACTCAAGAATTACAACGCAAGCAGAGTTGGTATCAGCAGAATCAAGTGTCCATGACAAAAGAAGACGAAGAAGAATACCTCAACTATTGCAGCGAGGCCATGTTTAGAATACATATCCTTGAACAACGCCTTAACAGGTACTACAGTGCACAAAATGCCACTACCACGAAAATCCACTGGTATCTGTAGCTTGAAAGTCTGGTAACGCTATGCAAAGGTTAAATTGCTGCCTAGTGCATTGTGTACTTTTTTGTTAGGCCTGGTCATTGTATCGCGACGGTTGTCTGTCTTTCGAAAAAACGAGATATAAGTGTACTATCAATGCAAACGAGGACGAGAGTTTGTTAAAATAGGAATTATTCGCGGATTTGAACGTGACACGTTTACAACCTAAGGCAAAATGAACCCTGATTTTACTCTTTTTGGATTGTGCCTTACGTCAACGCTAAAGAAAATCGCAAAAATATCGTGTCTACAGTTAATGAAAGAATTTCAAATCAGATTTAACCATAAGGCCAAACGATCAAACGCTAAGAAGTTTAATTTTAGGCGCTTGCCGAAAAGCTCTCCTTTGAATTGCTGGGTAGAAATATCGTATTGTTTATAATAGGGAAATTTACTTCTTTCTTCGACAAACACAGCTCTGCACACTGTACAAAAACGTCCCAAGGTCTGGTTGAGGGCCTCGCCAAGAAAAAACTAACTGAAAGAAGAGGTGTTATTCCCTCCTCGCGCGTCTCATCCGTTGGGCTCACCTCGCCCTTTCCATGCGTGCACCTCGCGCTTTTATCTGCTTCCCCTAAGGGGCGGAAAACCTTATATTTGTTTAATAGCGTGGTAAACTTTCTGTTCGTTTTTCTAAAAATGATATTACCGCATTAGCTCGGATATTTTCACTTTTCTTAGCGGCAACTTCATAATTATGACTAGTCTGCCCCTTTCATATTTCTCATGTGTCTATTTTCTTTTTTCCAGACATAAAGAACTGGCTCCTCAAAAGTATGTTCAGTTGGAACAAAAACTCAGGACCGATCCAAGACTTGCGGAGCATTTCTGATCTGCTGTGGATATCAACAATTGTACTATATGTATATCATTGTATTTACTCACAGTTTTTGAATAAATACTAAATGAAGCCTTGATCAGGTTTGATTACCTGTTATTACAAACCATCTGTCAATGCTGGAAAAAGATCACAATTTTATTAGTGAGCCCACAGTCAAGTCAGCCGAAATATACATTTGATGACAAAGAAAAGCAAAAACTCTTCACTTCTTAAGTGACTTTATTGCAAGATGAGTCGTACACTGACTCGCTAAATTACAGTTTCGTGTGCTGATTGTCGTTTGGATTAATAAAAAAAAGTAGTCATGGATTTCTTATGTCGTTCTTCGCAGTTGTATTGAAAATTGTAAAACAACACTTGTTTATGCATTGTTTTGTTTCCTACAGACAGCACACCTCTGTATCTCGTGATTCAATTACGTTCTCTGTACACAACAGAATGTTATTGCTTGCTCTTCGATGGCTGTTCTTCCGTTAGAAGGAAACCCTCCTCATTCAATTTCTTTTTATATTCGTCGTAAACACGTTTCCTGGCAAAGTAAGACACCTAGAAAATAAAAACGTAATAAAACTGAAAGGCGGAGAGACAAGGAATAAATTTGCAGGAGCAGAGATGATATGAAGAAAATATAATTAAAAAAGAATCCTAGCCAGCTTACGAATTTGTAATGTTACAATTATTACGTAACTAGAGACAATGTGCGCCTCGGTTGGTTTGGGAATTTTTTCCACACAAACATAGTTTACCGTGTCTAAAGTTCCTCGATAAGAGACTTAAAATCCTCTTTCATGTGCCATAAGGACCGAGTCAGAATAGAGGGACTGTTGTCCACTGATTGAACATTTTTGTTCATGCTTACCGATCAGTCCGACACATTCGTGAGGTTCTGATCTAAATTTTTCAGATTTGAGATCCCTATTAATGCCTATTTTTAGATTGAACGGGGAACTGTACTGTAGTCTTAAGGAAAATAATAATAATTGCACAAACCGCAGCGGAAAGTGACGGTTTAAAATGCACTTACCCATGCTGCAGGACAAACCGCGGTGTACTGATCTTTCTCCTTTGCACACGCGGATTCTTCGTTTCCATTTGACTTCAGGCAAGCGAAATAGTTATCTCGCGCCGCGTGACATTTCTTTCTTTCTTCTCCGGTTGGAGCTGGCATTTTTTATCAAAAGACGAGGAATTACGAAGCAAACCGGCTAACATTCGCTTACATGGTCAGTTCAGCCGCCATCTTACTTTGTAACCACTCCTTCATAGAGTCTTGCTGCAATGTTATGTGGGATTGTAATGGCCGTTAAAAGTTGTTAGCCCGCTAAATACAAACTAAATCTTGGAAGATGCAAGTTTTGAACTATTCGTACTCGCTTTTCTCCGTGTAGCTGCTTAATAACACTCCTAAGCAATGTGTTAACTTGCATTTATTACAGTTGGTACGATTAAGAAACGTTGAGTTCAACTTCCATCAGCAATGAATTCGAGCGTGAGGTCAGAAGCTCTTGATCCATCAGTGGGCAGCTTTAGACATGTGTTCCGCGGAATAGAATACGTTGTAACCCTCATGATAGACAGCGATAAAGAAACATTTGTCCTTGAAGTAGAAGACAGACTTACATCTGATCAATGGAGAGGACAATTTGACGCTAGATGTAAGTTGAAAGTGAATGTACAACACGTTATTGTGGAATTCAGAGTGTTTGTAATGTTTGATGTAGATGTTTAAACACCTCGCATCAAGGGAAAAGGAAAATGACGAATTGTTTTAACAAATAAAGAAGTGAGTCGGCTACATGCCAAAAATACTCTAAAAACTAATGCAGTAACCAAGAACCAACCTTTAAAATTTAAAGCCTACTGATAATTAACTTCAACCAACTGATTAAAATTGACTTTGAACAGGGTAGGGCAGGATGGCTTTGATTAGGTTCCTGATGGCCCTGAACCTTCCTCTACAAATTTTTATCAAAGTCAACCAGGATAAGCTTTTAACTATACAGTACTGTAATTAAACCAAAGGTTCACTGAACTCATAACATAGTCTATTACTGAAAACAAAATTTATGGATGTCTCAGCAGGCTGCTTTGATAAAACTTTTGTTCATATTAATCATATGTATTGCCTAATGATGAACTCCAAACAGGAAGGAAATAACTTCAAAAGTGACTGTGATTAGGGCACTTGCATATGTTAAAACATTGTTGGCATATGCTTGTTTCATAATCAGGTTCAAATACATGTTAGTTTCTTCTTTTCTTCACTCTAAGGAAGGGCTAACACTCAAAATGTCAGCTTTTTTACCTTTTACAGTGGCTAGTTTACATTTTCAACTCAGTTGTTAACACTAAAGTACCTGCTATACTCTCCCTCCAACGCAGCACCACAGTTTCTTTAGAAACTTCCCCCCTTTATTCATTAGTTTCTCCTTGTTTGATTTTTATACTTATGTTCCATGTTAGAGTTGAAGAGTTGACAGCTGACATCATGAAAGGGACCAATGGTTTTGATTCCATGAAAGCAAAAGTGTTGACTTCTACAAGTCTTGTATATTTTAGTTTTGAATAAGAGTGCAAGGGTAGCAATGTGTGCGTTATTATAACAGTGAAGTGGCTGCTTATTTTTCAGATATTGAAGATTTGACTCACAAGACTGGAAACTTTAAACAGTTTACAGTTTTTGTGAATATGCTTGAGAGTGCTCTTGCAAAGGTAAGTATATTTATTTTTTGCACATTGAAATGCTGCTCATAAAATCCTTTTTATTTTTTCAACACACACTTTCTTAGACTAGGAGTAGTCCCTCCTTTTCAGCAAAGTATGTCAAGCAAGTCCAAAAAAATCAGTGAAAAATTAAAAAAGGAAAGTGGTAAGCAGCACACTGTGCAGAAATCTGAAATCCTTGCAGCCTGCTAACTACCATCTTTTCCCACTTTTCTACTTGGACTTGCATAACAAACTTTCCTGAGTAGGAGGAACAGCTCATAGTTTAACACATTTTGATCACCGGGATGAGATATGGAGGTTATTGTAGATTTGATTGAGGCCATGACTGACTGATTCAAAGGTCGGATATCAGATTCTTAAAAAGAGGCAATGGAGATATGCTTGACCTGCTGGCTCCAACGGACATCTATGGTCCGAACTAGAATTAATTTAAAAGTATGATACTATCTTGAAAGTGGCCAGGTAGATTTGAATGAATCCTACGATTTACTCCTCTCCTGCTCAACTTGTTGATAATCATATTTTACAGGGTAGTAATTCAGTATCTGTGGACCTTTTGACATATGGTGACCTTGAATCACTTCGAAATCAACAACATCACAGAACTGGATATGGAACCCAGCACATACCTGGTGCAAAAACAAGATCACAACTGCACTCCAAGAGATATCTCATTATGACATATACAGTGGAGTTTGACAGGTTAGAAGTGGGTTGTTGTTACTGTGACAAGGGAGGATAACTTTTAAAGGGATAGGCAATGTAAATAAGCTGTAAATTTTGCTCTATCTTTTCTGCTCTCTTTCTATCAGATGGGAGGGGGAGGGGGATTGCAATCAAATTTAAGAGCCATAAACAAATTTGCTTTGGACAAGTTGTAATAGGGAAAGTTCTATAGAGAAACTTCTTTGGTCTTGCAAGTAAAGTATGAATGTCAAGACTATTCAGAATAATATATCTTTAAGACTCAAAGATTCAACACTGTCATTCAGCCATCTGACTGCTCCCTCCCTTCCACTGCTGCTCATAAATTAGAATGGAAATGAGATTTAATATCTGTCACAACTTTACTTTCAGAATACATTACCCTCTTCCTTTACCATACGTGGGAAAACCAGATCCAGTGCAGTTACAGGAAACCATAAGAAAACTAAGAGAAGAAAACTTAGGTCTGAAAGAGCAGGTAACATTAGATCTTAGTGGAGTGTCTCTTGGCCAAGAGCAAGGTGTCTTAGTTGAATACTTGTTTCTTTGCAGCTTATCAAAGGCTCAAGAACTGCAGCACTGACACATCTTCAAAAGGAGTAAGTAGAACGGTATGGAGTTTGCACCCCTTTTCTTTTTATTTGAATCTACAGTGTGCAGTGCAATCCTCTTACCTGTTAAATTTCAAGAATTTTTAAACAATTTAAGGCTGTGATAAGAGGTAATACAGAGGTAAATTTTAATGCTAATTGCCTAAAAAAGAGAACACTGAATCTGATGTAGGCTCTTATATTGTTACAGTAATCAGATAAGCTTCTTCAAGTCCTAGTTACTTTAACTGCTTCTAAAGAGGTTTAGTTAGGGAGAGGGGCTCATTGGAGAAGGGTGGGGCTGGGGTCATTTAAGAGGTGAGTTATGCAAGTACAAGAGACGAACTATTTAAGAGATATTACAATTGTAAACAGGGTTTGTATGGGTCCTGAAAAACCTGGAAAGTCCCAGAATTTTCTTTTGACATTTTCCAGGACTGGTGAATCCCAGAAAAAGACTTCAGGTCCAGGAAAGTCCTAGAAAGCTGCTTACATGTAACTCAAGCAATAAAGGTTTTAGACCATAAGGAGAATTTATTTGAAATCTTGGGAATAAAAGGGTCTAAGGAGAAATGAACTCTGTGTAAAGGGTCATCTAGCCCAATGGCTTGAGAACCAATCTTTGGTAAAGAAATCAGCTTATGCTCTTTCATCAAAAAGACTCTTCTCAGGGAGAAACAAAGGCCAGACTTGAGAGAGAGGCAGAAATAGAACCTACCAGTATTTTTTTATAGAGGGTGGGTTTTTGCCCATTAAGAATGGTAGGATCTTACAGAATCCTACATGATTTTTTAACTTACAATACATAGGATACCTTGTTCTTACAGACTCCTACATGATTTTTTAACTTACAATACATAGGATACCTTGTTCAGCTATTTTATTTCAACCTTGTCCTGAAACATGTTGGAGTTCTAATGTATTGTGATTGTTTAGGAATGACAAGTTAACCAAGGAAAAGTTGGAAATACAAAAACAGTTTGAGGCATTTCAAAGGGAAGTAAAGCACACCTCAAAGGCAAACACAGCTAAGGAAATAAGAGTCTTAAAAAAAGTTGTACAGAATCTGGAGGTAAGAAAAAACAGCAATAAATTGAGTACAGTTTACAGATGAATTTTAAAATGTTTCTGCAAACTTTCCATTGCTATGTACTTTGTAATTCTTACTATCCAGTTGCTCCTCAATCAGTGTCTGTTTCATGAAGACAACTTTCACTTTTACCAAGTGGATTCTCAAGAGAAGAATTTAAAGGTTTTCTAAGTTTCCTTACAGAGGGGAAAACTAAATTTTGTTATTTTACCAAATCAGACAAATAACTTGGTTTAACAAGGTTTCTTTATCACACTTGCATTGAAATGAATTGCAGTGGGTTGAGAAGGATTGGGTCTCAGTTTGTCACTTATCAATGTTTTTTTTCTGTAGAGTGAACTGATGAAAGAAAAAAACAAATACCAGAGAACAATAAATAAGAAGAATGAAGAACACAGGAATATTGTTGAAGAGGTGAGTTACATAAATCTCTCTCCTAATATCAAGGTTATTTTTTATCAATAGTTTGAACTTTTAGAATTCTAAAGTAGAAGTCTGCAGCTGCATTGTTGAGGTGATTTCATTACAAACTGGATTGACTGGGAAGGTTGATATCCAAATATTTAGCATATATGTCAATTAAGTTTTTCTTTGTTGATGAATTTTTTTTGCTCACAGCTATTATTTTAATTTCCATGTGCAGCTGGAGGAAATCCGTGCTAATGAGCGAAATTTAAGAGCAAGATGTAGAAGTTTAACAAATGAACTTGCTGTGTTAAAACGAGGGTGAGTGTTATCTGGGTATTTTTATTTTAGATCCCTCACAAACAAGGGAAATGCTTCACTACAGTCTATGCCATCTTGGGCAGAGATACAACCATAATATCTCCCCTTAAGCCTTTTTTGACTCGAGATTATCAGTAAATGGTGAAACTGTTACAGAAAAATGTGTCAAAATCGTCCTTGAGTTATGTTTTATTCATGAAGACCTGTGTAATGGTTTTTGCTGTTGCTTAGTCCTAGGCCATCACCAGCCCAAACAAGTGGCTCTGCAACAAGAAGAGGCCGGGCACCACGGAGATCTATCTCTCAGGAAAGGAGACCACCGTCAAAGCTATCATCCGGCATGCGCAGTAGAACACCTTCACCAGCTGGTGAGTTTTCGTGTAGTTTCTGAGGTCCAGTCAGGCTGTG